CCTATTTTCAAAATAAATAAATAAATAAATATTACTAGTACAACTAATAAAGTAGGAAGGAGCATTAGTTTGGAAAATTCCATAGGCATAAACTATCCCTACGTACGGTCCAGGAACTTTGTCTTTTTCTTAATTATTAAATAATCATCCCATATGGTAGTTACCATATGCCTTTTTGAACATGTACATTTTTTTACTCATATACTCAAATCATGTTTGTTTGTTAATTGGTCAACATGAGTAATTTGGCGCCCACCAGCATCAGCATCCAGGCACCTTCTGTAAAGGTAAAGTAAAGAGGAGGTGGATTAATTAATAATTCTCATGGTCATCGTGGAGGCTCACATCACATTGCCTTTTGGATTATTATTCTATATAAACATATAATTAATTAACAGTAATCTTTTTACTCATTGCATTATAGGCGCGGTATTAGTTAGAATGTATTTAAATCTTTCCTTTGAAATGATGCACTAGGTGAAATGGCATAGTTCCACTCTAATTAATGAGGTTAATGGTTTCTAAATGGTTAATGGCAAAATTGCTCACAGTTTATACAATACTCAAATCATCAAATGTCTTATAAAAAATGTCTAAATAATTAAAAGTTTAAGTCGCTACATTAGAGATTATGAACTTGAATCCTATCCCACAATGAAAAGGGATTTGGAGATAAAGAGAACTATCCAACCATTCCAGTCATACATTCCACCAGCATATTAAAAAAACAAAACATGGCTCTCAAAAATCACCGAGTCAAAGGGGCTGTTTGGAAAAGCCTCCACCAGACAGCCCCACAATCACAAACGAATGAAATATGACAAGGAAATTGGCAATTAAATGAACCATTCCAGAGCTACAACTGAAGATGCTGGGAGGAGAAGTAAAAACCTGTTGAGCAAGGACGAGGATGGATGGGTTCAGAAGATTGGGGGCAATCATTTCCATTTCTACAAAAAAATTGTTGAGAAAAAATTGAATTATAGAACTACCACGCAATGCATTTGGAAGTTGGAACTACACTAATTTCTAATTCTCTTTTGCTAAGGAAAAAACGCTACTGTTACAGTCAAAATTTAACCAAATTATCATTTACATCCATATAAAAACAAGAGCGAAAAAGAATTGTGATTGCTATGCTTCTGACCCGCCAAAATACGAGATAGCGAGAGAAAGGGAGAGAGTACACATGCAACAAATCTTTCACTGGCTCTTTGGCTTTTGAATCTTGACATACGGGAAAATAACCAGGAAGTGGACAACTTTTGGATCCCATCCTCGCTGCTGAGCACGACAGAACATCAGGAATGTGTTTGCAAAGTACGAATTGAAACCCATCAAGACGTGCCAGAAAGCATGACCTTGAGGATTGAAGTACCAAAAAGATATCTCCTTACAAAGCAAGCGGTCAAAAAGCCAACATATACTTGCCAATAATATGGTCACCAGATATAGCTTTGCAAGCCACTTTGCAGAGACATCAGTTGTGTGGATGTAGTACTTGTACATCCGAGGGATGCACAGGAGAGAAAGAATAATGTAATGTATTTTGAAGACAATTCCAAAGCGAAACAGTGCATGGAGTATTGCAAATCCAGCTCCATAAAAGAACAAGAAGGTGGGCATTGTACTGCGATAGTGCCAATCAGGTGAGTAGAGAATGTAGATGTACAGGAGCATTTCCCATACCATTGGTGTTTCGTCCCCTTGCTGTTGCCTGCAAAATTAGTTAAAACATTTGCAAATTTCAAATGATCAAATCAACCTGGCAAATAAAAACTATTAAATAATATAGTGTTAATTTATAAGGGTATTTTTAATCATTATATCAATAAAGTTCCACCAAATTCAGCATTTTACCATCACAAAATATCAAAAGTTTGTCAACAAGAATAGGTAATAGAAACAGTGCAAAAAGAATTCACACAATCTATTTATTGAAACCAATGAAGCGAGGATATAATTTTAGAGCTTAGGTTGAACATTGTTTTGCCCAAAGAGAATCTTTGAGAACCAAGCAATAATCATTAATCTGAATATAAACTTTGATAGTTAGCAAACAACTTGCTATTTATCCCTATTGAAGGCAACTCGCAACTCCAGGCAAACAGTAAGCATCAAGAGTTAAATTCTAGCAACGATACATGTAAAATAAAAGGTATTCATCCATGTGTCTTGCAGTTGGAGAAACATAAAATGCCAAGGAAGGTTGAATGCCAAATTATACTCACATGCGCTGTAGTGTGGCATGGTATATAATGCTTCCGATGGCAAGTATCATATTAGATATGTGAAGGATGCTAAACCTCTTCTCAAACCTTTGCCTCAAGGCATTTATCAAGCCAATCAATGCCAAAAGAATGCCAGGGATGTTTGATATTGTGTTGTAAAACTCTGCAATGTAAGATGAATGAACATAATTTTTCTCACACCAGTCAGTGGATGTGACTGGACCCCAAAAGCTTGACAGACCATCTCCCATTCTCTAATAATAATCAATTGAGGCACCTTTTGCTATGATATTGCAGATTTCATAAAACCTGAAACAAATTCTCTTTAAGAAATGGAACAATAAACTCACACAGGGAATGCCAATCACATGAAAAACTACTACCAGGTTTTGCTGTAAGAATTCTGTTATCATAGAAAGACAATAATTGCAGTATGATTTAAAAAAGAACTGAACAATAAAAGCCAAAACTGTAGATGCTATACAATAGAGATCATCATAGAAACCATGTTACAATTAAACAAACAAAAAATGTTGAATTTGAAAGTCCAAAAGCAAGCATAGAAAGGTAGAGGATTCATGAACGAACCCTTACATGCTTCATGCATACATTGAACCTTCTTTTTCACAACAGAAAATGACCATATAATTTTATGGTATAGCCATTCATATGAGACTGACGGGTAGGAGAACCATGAAAATGGGAAAAGGATGTTCTTGTATTAAGTTTCATGAAGGTGTCTTAGGTTACCAAATTTTGCAATCATGAAAGTGTCCAAGTTGGAAATTGTGGATTAGTAATAAAAAGAACACTAATTTATTTAAAAGTTAAATGGTTATAAGGAGAGAGTAATATAGAGATCTCTCCATAACAGTACGATCCGAAGAGAGAACCCAAAATAAAATTCACAGAACACCATGTAGAAAACATATCATGAGTTTCTACAAGGCAGTCTTTAAATGAGGTTTGCTATGGCAACAGTCAGTCTTCATTTACTAATTGGTGAAGCCATCAAGCAAGGAAAGACAACATGCCGTGGCAACAGTTCCTTGGGATGGAACGAAGCATGAACCCCCAAGTTACAGACGATTTCACTTCAAGTTCTGTCGTTATCATCATCAAATAACATAACAGTAAAGCAGTAAAACAACATAATCCCAATAACTACAAAACTCACAATGCCAGAAAAGAATTGCCCAAGTCTACCAATTCACCAATCATCCAAACACTGGAAAAATCCATACTCTGTCCAACATAGACGCATGCTAAAAAACAACGGGCAAAGGTCTTGACACGATACACCACCCTCTAAAAAAAACCTCAACCCATCACTTCAATAATATACCCTTAACATTTGGGTCCAAACCCATCAACCCATTAAAACCGTAAATTCAGAATTCATAGTGGAATCAAACCCAGCATGCATTATGGAACATAAACTACAAAATTGCTCAAAAATACAATTTGAAAAGAAAGAAACAAAGCGGCAAATATAAGATGGGAGAAAAAACTGGGACCAAACGATGTAATGACTGACCTTTAAACGATCAGATCTACTGTTCCAAAACGCTCCGCTTCTCTTCACAGATTTGACTGATTCCCTCAGGCAAGGGGAAAAGAAGGGGAGGTGAAACTATTGGAGGGCAGCGGGAAAAGAGCCAGGCGCGTTGGTAAGGGGTATACGCGTGGGAGTGCTTGGAACGTGTGGGGGAATGGTGTCCGTTGGATTGAGTCAGTGAGCGGCGGAGATTGATTTCGTTTTGGTGCGGCTGGATTTTCCAGATTTGACGTACGCGCGTCGGTGGGTGATAAAAAATTCGTAAATATATATAAGCTCTTTACGGTATTACCGTAAGTTTTTTTTTTTTTCCTAAGATTTTATTGTTAACGTGCCCTTGATTTTATATATATGAATATATTTTAACACAAAGGAATTTTTTTTTTTTAACATATTTACAAGTAGGGGGATGAAATCCAGACTCAAGAGAGAGAGGAGTATATATTTTTTTAATTTCATTAATACCATTAAATCCAAAAGGTTAGGTGCACAAAATAAAAGAATTTGAATCTATTTTTAAATAATATTTTGATTTCAAATTTCTAAAATGAAAAAATAAATTCTCCCACACAATGTGACTCAAAACTAAATATTTTTTTGGGATGCCGTAAGTTCTCATTTAATCCACGTTGCTCCCCGTTTTATACCATTATAAAATGAAATAACAAAACATTTTTTTCCCCCATTCTGTTTGTTTGTATTTTAGCTTGCTTAATTTCTTGTTTGTTGAAGGTGCCTAATATAATTTAGTAATTTAATTTATTTATAAGTAAATATTGTCATTTAAATCAAATTTAGTATTGAGTCTTGTAATTAAGACAATAAAATTTTTCAAATGCATGTCGAGAGGGAAAGCACACCCTTAAAATAACTAAAAAGAGATTAGTTGCATATTCTTGCTTAGAACAACCTTAAAAGTATGTTTGGTTGGTAGTAATTAATAATCATACATTTCAATAAATATCAAAGAAGTAACTTTATATCAACCATCCAGACATTAATTAATGTCAAAATTACACACATTATTATTATTATTATTATT